AAGTGGAGGATGGCTAGCATTGTGCTGCCGCATCGTATTTGGCGCCGGCGAGCACCAAGGGGGGCTGGGGTCTGGAGAGGGTGAGTTGCAAGACTAAACGACTTGGGTCAGGCGATGTTTAGGAGTATGATAAATTCCATAGCAACATCGAATAGAGTAACGTTTTGCAGCATGCACCAAGTTCATCGGTGGCAAGCCTAAAGGCCTATGGTGCCTGGTGTAAAATAGGCAGGCATATCAGCGCAATGAACCAACAATTAATGATCCAGACAACAGGAAGTAGAACACCGAAACCATTATGCATTCAATTCTGGATATCAACTAACCCTTAACTTTGATCTGCCCCCTCTTGCCCCTCTGAGCCGAACGCCTCTTTCGTACCTGACTCTTTGCTCGCCACATTGAGAGACCCTGGAGCGGAATCTTGCCGCCCGTCTGCGCCGTCATCTATCACATGCATCACTGATGTATTACCTCCGCACACCCGCGACGTATCCCCTTAGTTATCGGACACCAACTGAGGAATGTCGTCCACGCTGTTGCGGCCTTCGAGGATCTCGTGAACAGCAGTGAAGAGGGGATACTCCTTCTCGAGCCCGCGGGCCTTGAGGAAGCTGTTCACCTCGGCGGCTGTGCTCGTGCCCTGCAGCTTCTGTCCATTGAGCTCGCGCTCCTCAACCTCCTGCACGGTGAGACCCTCGAGGACGGCCTTGCGAGCGCAACGGAAGTTACGGCCGCCGCTGCACGAAGTAATGAGATCGGCGACGCCGGCAGACTCCTCTGTGAAGGTGGCGGGACGGACTGTTTGGCCGAAGAAGGCCTGGCCAAAGGCAACCATCTCGAGGAGGCCGATGCGCATGATGGCAGCCTTGGCGTTGTCACCCCAGCCGCGGCCGTCGACGAAGCCGGCGGCCAGAGCGACGATGTTCTTCAGGGCACCACCGAGGGACACACCAGCAACGTCGGAGACCATACGCACATGGAAGTAGGGGCGGTGGAAGAGCTGCTTGAACGTCTCGTGGTCGAGGGGTGGATAGGTAGCCGGGAAGGGCGTGAGCTTCGTTTTGGACGCGCGGCCGCGGGCATCCTTGTGGTGCAGTGAAACAGGCGTCATAGCCTGGAGGCCGGCGATAATCTTGTTGGCGCCGTTGGCAGCTTGCTGGGCGACTGTCGGCGAGGCAGGGCCGGGCGAGGCAGGGCCGGGCGATGCGGTCCGCGAGGTCGCGCGCGGGGTAGGCACGCGCGAGTTGTCCATTGGAGGCGGGTCATATGCGATAGTCGTCTCTGACCACTTCTCGGCAGCAATCTCGGAAGCAATGTTGGCGCCAGACAGGGCGCCAACATAAATGCCAAGACCGTCACCGATCCATTCGGAGAAGAGGGAGACACCGTCGTCTGAGACATTGACACCCTTGATGCAGGAGATGCCACGAGCAAAGGGGAGAATATTGCCGCGCAGCTGATCGCAGACTTTGCCGATGAACTGGTGGGGCAGGTTGAATATGAGAATTGTAGCGTCGCGGGCGGCGTCGACGACCGAGGGGTTTGCAATCAGGTTTGTCGGCAGACGGACCCCAGGCAAGTACTTCGTGTTCTCGTGGTGTGTGTTGATAATGTGAGTAAGCTTTTGCGGCGAGGAACCCGTGGCCGAGTCGTAGTAGGGAGAGTCTTCGGACAGAGTGACATCTTCCTCGTACACCCACATCTGGACCTCCTCCTCGAAGATATCGGGGAACGCCTTGGTGTTCTCGGCAACGATTTTGGAAATGGTAGAGCCCCTGGCGGTACGTCAGATAAGGCTCGTGGGCATCATGAAAAGGCAGGCTGTACTTACCAGTTGCCGGAACCGACAACGGTCACCTTGTGCTTCTTCGTAGTGTCGAGGCCGAGCGTCGCCATGTTGTTGGTGGTTGTATAGGCTCGACGGGTGATTATGCGGAGAGGGCGAGTACGTCGGCCAGTTGCTCTTGCGAGTGATGATGTGCGGAGGGATATCGAGGAGAGGCGAAGAAGCATGTGGTATTACAAGGCGTTGGCGTGATGGAGAGAGGATGGCCGCCGTTATAAGCAGGGCCGGCAGAGGGAGGGTTGAGTGTGGAGGTGAAGGCGGGGGAACCTGGCGTAAGGCACTGATCTGGTAGGTAGACAAGTATCGCCACGAGCTGAAGGAAAGATCAATATAGGGGTCTTGCCGTTTGGTGAGGAGTGTGCTCAGTACAGGTAGTGTCGTGGCTTGCTCCAGCCAGGCGTCCTCGGCGCAACCAGCGCAAGCACGAGACTGGGACCCTCCCTCCAAACGGCCCGCCCGCTATCGAGTCGCCGTCACAGGCGTTGAGCTTCAGTGGAACGGCACCCATGACGCAGGAGGGGGGTAATGGGCAGAACGGCTGACCGCCTGCTGTAGAGGGCAAGGTCGCCCAACGAAAAGGGCAGGGGTTGAGCACCATCGAATGCAGTCAGGCAAGCGCCAGTGCTGTGTTGCTCCTCGGTCGGGCTGGCGAGGCATCGAATCTTCGCTGGCCGAGGCAGCTCATGCGCCAATTGACCGATGACCTCCTACCTGTTCTTTGTCCCCCTACCTACCTGATGACCTTTTGGCGCCGACAACTGAAGCCTGGGCTTTTCACAGGCATGTCTATGAACCGAGGGTGAGCTTATAGGAGCCTCTTTCGGGACAATCAAATTGATTGGTGCCGTGGATCGGCAGTGCCGTCCGTGGTGGAGGCCCCCTAGAGGGTCGGAAGACGAGGCGAATTCCGCGCGCATCTTTCCAAATTTATTTCGGGTCCCCCGTTGCTGGGCCGTTGTAGGCTCAGATATGGGTTTTCACATGTCGGCTTTGATTTGGTTGGGAGGGATCGTCGGTCGGCCGTGCCTTGTGCCTGGCAATCCCGGGTGGCGAGAAGGCCAAACGCTGGTTACGTTTGGCGACATTCGGTGGCCTTGCCATGCCGCTCGGCGCCGTCGTCAGGTGTTGCAAAGTCAATCAGAACTTCCCGAGGCTCTCGGTCGTTCGCCCGTGATGGGTCATCATGCTGAGAAGAAAGTCCAAAGACCACAGACTCCACCGCCTGATCACCGATTTCGCGACGTCCCACGTTCGTCAACTCACATTTCTTCAATTGCGATTCGTTTTACTCGACAATGCCCTGCTTCAAAGGAGAGGCGTGTTTCGGGAGCACCAAACATGATTGGAGGAACCAATCCAGTCCTTTCGAATGAGGGCGCTCAACTGCGCTCCTGTATGAGACGAGAGCGACAAGCAAATACGCAACATCGCCCGCTACAAAACACATGGGCACCGAGCACCTCAATCCTTCCGTTTCATCGCCTGTAGGAATCTAACGCAGCAAAGCAGGTTTGCTGCCACATCAAGCAACGACCCGAGCTTTTCCAGGCGTGCTGACGATCCGAAAAGAAGCTTGGCGCATTGCACCTGACGTCCGCCTCTCACATCGGATAATCGACGGCGTTTCTCCCGTCTCATGTCAGCCCGGTGCCAGCAAAAGCGCTCGCTCGATGCGACTGTCTCATCCAATTACGACCCCCTGTGACATTTTCACTCTTTCTCGGGCAGCATTTGAGGCTCCAAGAGATCGTCATTCCGATTGCTGGGAAGCGCTTGTGAGGCCCCGACCACGGAACTCATCGGTCGATGGTGCCAGGAACACGACACGCATGGCATAGCGCTAGGCCAGACTTGCCAGAGCTGGGTGCCAGCAGCGGGGCGGGCCCCTCTCATGTCACAGCGTCTGGAGAGTCTGTCGAGTCTGGCCCGTCTGGCCTGTGCGGGAAATATCCTACACTAAGCCCAAAGCCGTCTCGCTAAGTGGCATGACGTCGGTGCTGCGAGGGAGAGGAGAGGAGGGGGGAGCTCAGACTCCGGCCGATCAGAGATGCGATCGAGGTTGGGACTGGCGAAATCTTCCAGCAAGCAAGCAGGCAATTGCTCGCTATCTTGCCTGCCTACCTATCTCAGCCCCCTCGTTCCAGCAGCTACTTTTAGTCGCTACCCATCGTTTTCTCGTGTCTTCAGCCAGCGAATATCTCCAACGGAGCGGAACAATCGGAGCATCCGCAGTGTCGGCGCATCTTTCACTCAACCTGTTCACAAGCACAACACCATGAACCAGGAGGTAAGTGCAGGCCCAAAACTTCCTATCCAGAAAGCTGCCTCCCCTTCCCCCAAGACATCCGAGACACGGTCGCAGGCTTCTTCACTTGCGCGCGTCAACAACCAAGGCATGAGAGCAAACAAACCTAAGGTACCTTACCTACTGTTGGCTTGCTTAGGCCAGTGCTAGGCCGTGGCACAGCGCTAGGCTTTATCACCTCACCTCACCTTCCCTCGCCTCACCTCACCGCGAGTGCGACTGCTCGCTTGGCCGCCCACATGCCCCCTAACAGACGGCAGCAAGGTGCCATGGGAAGTAGCCCAGCCCTGCCGATCCCCTTGTGCCTGCCATCCGTGTCTTCGCTTCACCATGGGATCCCGGCCCCTCCTTTCAGGCAAAGAAGGCTCCAGGGTAGCTCCCGCCTTCCTGCAAGCTGAGCTCACCTCACCTTCACGCCGCCGGACCGCGCCCCCCATGCCGCATTCAGATTGGGAAGGCGACGCCAGCGAAGAACTCTGCAAGAGCTCTGCTCAACCCCCCTCCCCTCGGTCTTCTTGGCAGGCAAAGCTTGCTGGACTGGTGGCGCCACAAGCATCAGACCAGACAAGATTGTTTCGCGTCTCATCTGTGCCTTCCATCCTCTCCATTGTCTTCCTCTCGGCCTATACCCTACCCCGCCACGTGTGAGCTACCATACAGCTCAGCCCTCCTCCAATATAATATAATCCTCCATCATCACATCATCACTTTACTTCCGTACCCCGGTTGCTACACCGTCCATTCCCGCGACCGCCTTTTTGCCCTACCCTACCGGCCGGTCACATATTCCCTCCCTTTCGCTCCTATGTCCGTCTGAACTTGTCCTCCGATATCCTTCTTGTACTCTTGGCTGCCCCCTCCGTCCCTTCCGACAGCTGGATGCCTTCACGCTGCGAAGCTCTCTTGGATCCTGTCGACGTCCGTGGGGCACGAAGCTCCCTCCATCACATTTGCTGACCATGATCCCGAAGACCATGATCTCCAACGAAGTCTACCTTCTGCCACTGAACGATGATGGCTCGCCCCAAATCGCCGGAGAATACATCTACCTAGCGCCCAAGAACAACGAACCCGTTACCATTCGCTTCGCCATTGAGGGCACCTCCTCTATTTGTCGCCATGGCAGTCTTTGGGTCAACATTCCTGACCAGGGTGCTGAGTTTCGCAGAGACAAGTTCCGGGAATTCAAGTAAGATCGCTCGTCACACAGCGAACGCGTGATAACCCTGTGTGCTTCATTGCACCATTACAGCGCCTTGAGATTAACTGGAACGCGCAGGCTCGTACCCGATTTCAACCGCACCATCGAAATCTCCATCCCCATCTTCCAAGCTGGTGCCTACGCCTTCTACACTACCTACGCCGAGCTTCCCGATCTCGCCGCCGAGCTGAGCTCCAAGTCTGAAACAGAAACAACGCACAAGAAGACGCCTCTTTACTACATCGATGTCGCCCCTCGCCTCTCTCTTGACGGCCGGCCGTTGCCGCTGCCTGCGCTGTCCATTTATTCTGTCATCAGCAAATTCATGGGCAAATACCCTACCGACTGGGAGCGTCACCTTCGTGGCATCAGCGACCGGGGTTACAACATGATTCACTTCACGCCTCTGCAAGTCCGCGGCGCATCTAATTCACCCTACAGTCTGTACGATCAGCTGGGCTGGGACCCTGATTGTTTCCCTGGCGGCGAAAAGGACGTACAGGGCATGGTCGATAGCCTCGAGAAGAACCACTCTCTGCTCAGTCTGACCGACATTGTCCTGAATCACACGGCGCATAATAGCAAGTGGCTGCAAGAACACCCCGACTCGGGCTACAACTTGGTGACCGCGCCTTGGCTCGAGTCTGCGTGGCTGCTCGACACAAAGCTTCTGGAGCTCAGCGCAAATCTCGAGAAATTTGGCTTGCCCACCGAGCTTAAGAGCAATGACGACCTTGTTAAGGTCATGGATGCGATCAAGAAGCAAGTCATTGCCGAGATCCGCCTCTGGGAATACTACGCCATTGACGTGGAGCGCGACGTTGACGCCGCTGTCGATGCGTGGGTTGCCGGCAAGGTGGAGTTCCCCGAGAGTTCGGTGGGTGCGGACGGTGTACTGGGTCTTAAGGAGGCACCACAGAAAGAACAGGCCCAGTTCCTCATCAAAAACGGTCTGCTGAACAAGAGCCGCCTAGGCGAGCGGTTCAGGAGGAGGGTGAAACCAGAGGTCGCCGCTGGTCTTCTGTCGGCCATCTTTGGCCGCTATGAAGGCAATTCTGGTCCGACGCCGGACCAGGCGGCTGCCAAGTCCAAGATTCTCGCTGTCCTCGACGAGGTCAATCTGCCCTTCTACAAGGAGTACGACGACGAGGTTGCTGTGATTCTGGACCAGCTTTTCAATCGCATCAAATACTGTCGCCTGGACGAGCACGGTCCAAAAATGGGGCCCATCAATGAGAAGAACCCTCTCATCGAGTCGTACTTTACGCGACTGCCCGAAAATGCCACCACATCCAAACACAAGAAGGAAGAGCTGTCCCTTGCCAACAATGGCTGGGTCTGGGCCGGCAATGCCCTCATAGACAATGCTGGGCCTGACTCCCGAGTGTACCTCAGGCGCGAGGTCATTGTCTGGGGCGACTGCGTCAAGCTTCGTTATGGCAGCGGACCCAAAGACAGCCCTTTCCTCTGGGATTACATGACCAAGTACGCTCGCATGCTTGCCAAGTACTTTGCCGGTTTTCGCATAGACAACTGCCACTCCACTCCCCTGCACGTCGCTGAGCATATACTCGATGAGGCGCGTCGCGTGCGACCAGACCTTTACGTTGTGGCTGAGCTCTTCAGCGGTTCTGAAGAGATGGACTACGTCTTTGTCAAGAGGCTCGGTCTCAGCTCCCTAATCCGTGAGGCCATGCAGGCGTGGAGCACGGGAGAGCTCAGCAGACTGGTACACAGACATGGAGGACGCCCTATTGGCAGCTTTGAAGTGGACGAGTTGTCGAGGGCCGACCCCAAGTCGCCTGCCAGCCCCCCGAGATCTCCCGGCGAACCCACCAAAGATCACTCACAGTCTTCCCGCGAGATTGTCCGCAAGATCAAACCCGTGCCTGTTCACGCCCTCTTCATGGACTGCACCCACGACAACGAGACTCCGGCCCAGAAGCGCGATGCACGAGACACGCTGCCCAATGCAGCCCTGGTCAACATGTGTGCTAGTGCCACCGGAAGTGTAATGGGTTACGACGAGATCTACCCGAAGCTCGTGGATCTTGTGAACGAGACGAGGCTCTACACGTCCGAATCATCTTCCAAGGGTGTCAAAGTGGGCGGCGGTAAGAACGGAATTGGTGGCATCAAGAAACTCCTTAATCAGATTCACACCCTCATGGGCAAAGATGGCTATGACGAAACTCACATCCATCACGAAGACCAGTACATCACTGTTCACAGGGTTCATCCCGAGTCGAGGAAGGGCTATTTCCTCATCGCACACACAGCGTTCCCCGGTTACGGCAACGGAAACGGTGCGTTCAACGCTGTCCATCTGGGCGGCACGCGGGCTCGCCACCTCGGAAGCTGGATGCTCGAGGTGGATACTAGCGAGGAGGCAACAAAAGAAGTCCTCGAAGACAAGAAGCACCTCAGAGGCCTACCTAGCCGCGTCATTGATGTGCCTGGTATTCGCATGGAAGTCAAGGGCGATGAGACGGTCATCTCAGTCCGCGATAAGTTCCCTCCCGGAAGCATCGCGCTTTTTGAGACTTGGATTCCCGCTGCCGAACACTCTGCTGGTCTTGACAATTACGTCACGTCTGGTGCCAAGAAGGCATTTGCTGACCTAAGCCTCATCGATCTCAATTTTCTCCTCTACAAATGTGAGGCTGAGGAGAGGGATGGCAGCGATGGAGCTGATGGCTGCTACGACATTCCTGGCCACGGCAAGCTGGTATATGCCGGCCTCCAGGGCTGGTGGAGTCTTCTGAAAGATATCATTCCCGAGAACAACCTCGCTCATCCCCTGTGTCAGCATCTCCGAGATGGCCAGTGGGCCCTTGACTACATCGTCGGCCGACTGGAGCGCGCGGCCAAGAAGCCTGGGCAGGAGGCCCTCAAGAAGCCCGCCGACTGGTTTAAAGAGCGATTTGATGCCCTGCGACAGATCCCAAGCTTCCTCCTTCCGCGGTACTTCGGCCTTCTCCTCAGGACCTCCTACATGGCAGCTTGCGAGCGCGGCATTGAGCTCATGAGCGCCAACGTGGGTCAAGGCCAGTGGTTCCTGCAAAGCCTTGCCATGGTTGGCGTACAGCAGACAGGCCTTGTTAAGTCTGGATCTCTATATCCCAAGAAGTTGGTGCCTTCTCTCGCGGCAGGCCTTCCCCACTTTGCCGTCGAATGGGCACGATGCTGGGGTCGCGACGTCTTCATCTCGCTCCGTGGTCTGTACCTCGGCACCGGTCGCTTCGAGGAGGCAAAGGAGCACATTGTGGCCTTCGCCAGCGTCTTGAAGCACGGTCAGATCCCCAACCTCCTCAGCAGTGGCAATGCGCCCCGGTATAACTCACGCGACTCCATCTGGTTCTTCCTGCAGTGCATTCAGGACTATGTCAAGTATGCGCCAGAAGGTGTTGACTTCCTCAAGACCAGTGTCAAGCGCCGCTTTCTCCCGTACGATGACACTTGGTTCGATACAGAAGACTCGCGAGCGTACTCACAGGAGAGCACCATTGAGGATGTTATTCAGGAAGCATTGCAGAGGCATGCTACGGGCATGGCTTACCGCGAGGCCAATGCTGGCCCAGGCATCGACAGCCAGATGAAAGATGAAGGCTTCAACATCGCCATCGAGGTTGACTGGGAAAACGGCATGGTCTTTGGCGGTAACCAGAACAACTGCGGTACGTGGATGGACAAGATGGGCGAGAGCGCCCGCGCGGGCTCCAAGGGCGTGCCTGGCACACCTCGTGACGGCGCCGCTGTGGAGATCACTGGTCTTCTGTACAGCACGCTCGCATGGCTGGCTAAGCTCAGCAGCGAGGGGAAGTATCAGTACTCGTCCGTCAAGAAGGCCGACTCTTCTTCCATCAGCTTTGCCGATTGGGCGGACATTTTACAGGCGAACTTTGAACGGTGCTACTTTGTGCCTCTCTCCTCCGATGAGGACGCGAAGTACGATGTGAACCCGGCAGTCGTCAACCGCCGAGGCATGTACAAGGATCTGTACCGTTCCGGCAAGGAATACGAGGACTACCAGCTGCGACCCAACTTTCCCATTGCCATGACAGTAGCTCCTCAGCTCTTTGACCCCTCTCACGCCATGCAGGCTCTCAACCTCGCCGACACGGTCCTTCGCGGTCCCACAGGCATGGCCACGCTTGACCCTGCCGACCTCAACTACAGGCCATACTACGTCAACAGCGAGGATAGCGAGGACTTTGCGACATCCAAGGGCCGCAACTACCACCAGGGTCCCGAATGGTTGTGGCCAACGGGCTTCTTCCTGCGTGCGCTACTGAAGTTCGATCTCAAGAGGCGTGACACCGACGCTGGCAGGACCGAGGCCTACCAACAAGTGACGAGGAGGCTTATGGGTTGCAAGAAAATGATTCAGGAGAGCCCGTGGGCCGGCTTGCAGGAGCTGACGCAGAAGAATGGAGGGTACTGTGGTGATTCGGTAAGTGACGTTAATGATGCCCCAAGGAAGCAACAGTATGAGCTAACGGCTTCTCCAGTCGCCGACTCAGGCCTGGTCGGCCGGATGTTTGATCGACCTGTACATGGATGCTGCAGAGGAGCAAGGTGGTGTCGCGGGGAACCTCACTCTGCCCACGAGGTCCAGGTAGGACAGCATGATCCGTGACGGCAAGGTGTTGGTGCAGGAAGCGATCGCCGAGGTTCTAGACGTGTTCGAGTCTGTAGCGCAACGCAGGGAGAGCTTTGGGCTGTGAGACACATGCAGGACGGCGCTACTGGAGAAAGGGCGGGCACGCGTTCTTTGAGGCAAGACAAAAAAGACTCAGAGGTAACACATCCAGGGCGGGGAATGATGACGTTTCGATGGGAGCTTTCGGCATAGAGACACACGACACGACGGCAGCATTCAGGGCTGGCATGCATAGATTATCAATACCCCTAATTCGTCGAGAGACACAAAGTCGCGGTTTGTTTCCATGTCAAAAGTGAACAATCCTGGTGCAATGCACCAGTGCAGAGATGTCTAATTCAACGGCAGAAAAATGTGTGGTAGATAGATAGATAAACAAAAAGTCGCCAAGCCTAGCTCTCGAGCTTCGTCACTCCTGGTCAAGGCCTAGGAAACCCAGGCAGGGCTATGTGGTGCGTGGCCTTGAGCAAGGCACTTCAATGGTGCGAGGAGGCCGCTTGCATGCATGTGCGCGAGACGGGCTCGAATCGTTTGGTGAAGAAATTGGTTGTTGTGAGCAGGGTGAGAATGAATATATGAATGACGATGCTGGAAGGTTTTTTCGACCATCGCCCGATCCCGTATGAAAAGACCGCCCGCGCGCCAGGAAGATCCAAAACCCAGCTCTGAGAGAGAGGCTGAGGCGGCGCGGGGCCATGCGAAATTGTGTTCCCCAAGGCTGTGCTGCCTTCCTTATGATTCCAACAAAGAGAAAAACAAAAATGGCCGTGTCTGTGTGCGTCCCCGACAAGATCCGCTCCCTTCCATCCACTGGAGCTGTATATTGCTGGGCGCGAGGGAGGTGTTGGTCCCCCGGGAGGGGAATAGTTGGCCGCTGATGCGCACGCGATTTCTCCTCGTTTTGCCTCCGTTCGCCTTTCCCGTGAAAACGCCATCTCGTGAGCCGGCCGTGTTAGGTCGTTCTTTGCATGTTTTTTTGGTGTGATGTTATGTGTTAATTGTCAATGGATTGTCCAAAACAAGAAAAAGCGCTTCGCACTCGGTCGACTCGTCATGTCCTTTGGTTGACAACCCACTTCTTCTTCTCCTTCTTGGGCTTCTCCTCATAGGGCCCTGACGCCGCGCTGGGCATGAACATGCCGGGGCCGCTCTGGGCTTCGGTGGCACCGGGACCGGGGACGTGAGCGCTGGAGCCGCCGTGGGCTGGGAAGGCCGTGGCCGAGGTGTGCTTGCCGAACTGGTTGGAGCGGTCCTTGCGCTTGAGGTAACGACGGCGCCAGATGCAGGCGCCGATCCAGATACCAGCGATACCAACAATGAGAATGACAATAGCGATGACCCAGCGCCAGTGGTTGGAGATCCTGTAGACATACACGTCAGCCTGAATGCACATATCGGACAAGAACGTAGCAATGCTCACCAATCGCCGCCGCCGCCACTTGAGCTGGACCCCGAGCTGCCCGCACTGCTGCCGCCTGTAGGTGTTGAGGAGGCGGCCGTGCCGGTGCCGGTGCCCGTGGGCGTAGTGACGGTGGGCTGAGAGTCAGCGAGCGCGGCGCTACAATAGCTGGTGAACCATGATTGAATGCTCGTCAGATCGGCCGCAGCGCAGCCAGCCGCGTCGCAAGGGCCTGACACGGAGCCCTGTCTGAAGGGCTGAAGGGGACCAAAGTCACAGAAACAGTTGTTGTTGACACTGTTGCCGGACGCTGGGGGCACGCAGCCGCCATTCGCATCGTAGAGAACGCCACAGTTGAGCGCACAGGCGGGCAGGTTCGCGAAGGGGATGATGGTCGTCGAAGGGGGAGCTGCTTGAGCTGGGGATCTTTTAGTACGCCACACGACATCGACATGGAGAAAGACCTTCTCTACTTACCCATTGTGAAGGGGATATGCTACAGGAACAAAGTACAAAGACAAGGTAGATCAAACAGAGAATGAGATCGACGCGACGTCCAAGTACCGACAAGTCCGGCTCGGTTGGCGGTGCTGGCAACCGTTATGACGCGAGGTCGAGTTATTCGGTGCTCTGATCGAACAGAACGGAACGCAGTGAAGATGGTGCGACGCCAAATGGTCGCGACTGACGGCTGTAGCGGTAGGTTAGGGCGCGGCAGCAATTGGGTGGCTCGGTCGGAGATGGCGGCAGCAGATGCTGTGATACGGTTCGAGGGAACAGTCGGCGATGGGACTGGAATGAGGAGTCGACGGCGGTCACGCTCGCTCGGGCGTTTTCGATGTCGAAAGCGAGGACAACGTCGACAGGAGAACGACGGAGAAGACGATGTCGGCAAAGGGGGTCGTGAGGCAAATCGGACAGAATCTCTCTCGAGGCAGGTTGTGGTTGGGTTATGACTCGGATATTGCCAGCTCGTATGCCCTGTGTCTGTATTCAGGGCCTGTATCTCAGGGGACTTCCGCCCGATGGAACGTCAGATGACTGGAAGCGAGCGAATCGTGGGCTGGGTGATCGGAATCTCAACGTCGTAGCGTCGAGTTTTTTTTCCAAGAATATCCTCCTCTTGATCGGCAAAAGCGAGTGTATTGTGCCGATGTCGTGGAACCTGTGTTGCGTCGTCTGGCTGATGGGCGGATTGC